CTTCCTAAGTGTTTTAGTCTGAGGGAATGCCACTGGTATAGGCTTCTTTTAGTCCAATTCTTTTCAAGAAATAATGTCTTAGAGCCTGGTCTTCAATGTGTTTAGAGCTAAACACTGGTCTGTGGAGCCCAGCTGTTAAAAATAGTTGCAAAGCCATGCAACTGAAGATCAGAAACATTTGGGCATTGTTACTATATAGAAACTAGAGTTCTTCCCTCTCTATGCCTTCTTGTTGGAATATTTTCCCATAAATATCTGATCAGCTTATTTTGTCACTTTTTTTCATGGTCCCCCTCAATCCTGGCTGTTCAAATGAGGCTCCTCTAAAGACCCTGTGTAATTAGGTTACAGATATACTTCATCACAGCAAGTCAGAAGCCTCTATCTTACCCTGCTCTTATTTTTTTTTCCTAGAACTCATACACAAAGTATATAGTTTATTTAATTATATTTATTTCATGTATCTTAAATCCTAAGATTGGAAGCAAACTGTGTCTATTTTGTTCTCTGGGGAATCACAGACATTTTAACATAGTACTTGGCACTCAGCAACAGGTCAATGTATATTTACTGAATGAACATGCCTCCTATAGCAATGATGGTGGAGGCATGGAAGCCAAACTGCATTCCAAGAGAGATTTAAAAAAAAAAACAAAAAACACTATGAGGAGTCAAGGAAATATGTAATTTCTTGCTAGGGAGAAATATGGTGAATTAAATTGCTTGATGCATATGAATTCTCATGAATTCCTGGAAAGGAAAAATAGGCATTTTTGTTCTCTAACAGGTTTCTGCTTCCATTTCCCTTGTTCACAATGAATTTTAATCACCAATGTCAAACTAGAAACAAAAGTTAGTACATGGCCTTTATGCTTTCTTCTGGTAGAGTTCACAGCTCAGATTTCAGGCAAATAAGAATGATATCCAAAGTTAATTTGTTGTTATTATTTATGCATTCTCTTTTCCACAACCAAGTGGAATCATCACTTAACACATCATTCTCCCAAGGAAACACTGGTTGGAATTCAGTGATTTTTCTAAAATTCCTATTTCTTATTAATTCATAATTTGAGATGGTTTTTAAAAATGTTCATAACAGCATTTTGAAACAGCAGTACAAGAGGACCAGGTTTACCTCAGGTGAAATTTGTCAGACTTTGTTTTCAGATGTAACAATTCAATCAAATGAAGGTCACTACAGAAATTCATGTTAGGTACATCATGAATTATTACCCTTTTTTTTGGGGGGAAGTGAATGATATATACATATATATATACACACACATACACATAATGATTTATATATAATGATATATATATATTATTATTAACTTAGGAGGCAAATGAACATTCTAACTATTAGAATGTGAACAATGCCAGCTTACATCACTTAATACCACTTCTGAGGTATTCATATCCTCAAAAATATCCCATTTGGATGATAAATGATATGTTATTCTAAAATATCTTTGTAAAATATCTGATATGGTCACTAGTCAAAATGATTCATTATGTAGCTATTATTTAACAAATGTATCTAGAACTCAAATTTCTCAGCATTATCAGGCAGGTATCATTCTGACTTCTAAAGAAAATTGAGTAGTTATTATCTAAGAAAATAGAAGGAAAAAATGGAGTAATGTCTATAAACCAACAAATTGTTGCCAAGTATTAGTAAAAGGTCACTAGTAATTCTATGAAAGGAAGGATGGTTAAAGCACCACTATCAAGTTCATTAATTCTATTATATTCCTAGAAGACTACATTTGACAATTTAAGTTTTGCCTCATAGGAGGAAAAACGGTTTCCAAATTACCCTTAAAAATAAGTTTCTTCACCCCTAAATTAATATGTATGCCTGCTCTCTTCCAAGAAAAGTAAGGATTCCCTTTCTGGAGAAAATGAACATACCTACAAATAGCAACATAATAGTCAGCATTTCTACAGTGTCTCCTAATGTTGAGCATTGGGTCTGGTTGATATAGTCTGTAGCTTTTCAACCTTCAACACTGGCGGTATAATTAGATAGCTATTACTGAAGAGGAAAATGTCTCAATGAAGTTGCATGGTTTGTCCACAGACACATAGCAAGTTTGTGGCAAAGCAAGTTTAATCCAGGTGGAGCCAAGTTTAAAAAAGACATAGATCCCAGATTTTATGCACATTATCTCTAATCCCATACTTTGTCCCCAGATTGGTGTTTAAATGTAGGGACACATTCCCAGCACTAGGGAAGATACTATGTGTCCATGGACTAATTAACAAAAGATCATGAATGAAATTTACCTTCTTCACTTTTGAAGTAAAGAAGTACAGGAATATGGATGGAGCTGGAAGGGATCATGCTCAATGAAATAAGTCAGAAAGAAAAATAAAAATACCGGATGGTCTCAATCATAGCAGGAATTTATTTATTTTTTAAATAATAAATTTTATTTTTATATTCCCCCATACAATTGCAAATGCCCCATTCTGACCCCAATCCCTCCCCTCCCGCCCCCCACCCCCCAAAAAGTGTCTCTGGTTTATAGCTTTTTGTTGATTTTGATTTTCACTTTCTTATAGTTATTCATTTTCCTGGTCCCTTATTTAAGTTTTCTAGATTCCTGCTATGAGTGAGACCATCCGGTATTTTTCTTTTTCTTTTTGGCTTATTTCGCTGAGCATGATCCCTTCCAGCGCCATCCATGTTGCTGCAAATTGCATGTGTTTATCTTTTTTGAATGCTGAGTAATATTCCATGGTGTATATGTACCACATCTTCTTGATCCAGTCATCTATTTTTGGGCATTTGGGCTGTTTCCAAAGCTTAGCTATTGTAAATAGTGCTGCTATAGCTCAGTGGTAGAGCATTTGACTGCATAGCAGGAATTTAGAAAATCTAAATAAGGGACCAGGAAAAAGACTAATTATACTACAGTAAAAATCAAAATCAACAAGCAATTATAAACCAGAGACACACTTCAGGGAAGGGGAGGAGAGAGAAGGGAGCAGGACCAAAATAAGGGAGGTGGAAATTATATGGAGACTATAACCAAGATGAAAATGCATACAATGTGCAAAAATGAAAAATGGGGCCTCCCCGGTGGCACAGCAGTTGAGCGATGGGCTGAGAAGCTGCCTGCAGCCTCTGCAGCACCAGTTCGATCCCCGGCCACCAGCGAGGGTCCCACATGGTGCACAGACCTATCCTGCCGCGCCCACTGCTCCCCTCAGCAGTGTACTTCATCAGTCTACCTGTTCTGCTCCCTGCTCTGGCTCTGGTGAATTCTCTCACCCTCTAGTGCTTCTGACTGTACCCAGTGCTTGTATAAATAAATAAATAAATCTTTAAACAAAAAGAAAAATGATGTAAAAATATATAAAATAAAAAAGAAGTACAGGAATATAAGGGGTCATCTTGGTAAAAAAATAAATGACCTCAATAAAAATAAATTCCAAAGCTGCCAATGGAAAAAAGTAATTGTTGGCCATAGCAATTAGAAATTATAAGCATATTTTCATGTATCAATTCTGTTTATAGTTCTATTTATAAATATACTTTCAGGACACAAACTCAAATTTCATTCACATAAATTAATAAAATGGGCAAGCTATAAGAGGACTATGAGGAAAATAGATGATCTATCAGCATGTATGGACTATGTTGAATGTACAAAGATGCCAATAATGAGGCAGAGAAAGTAAATGGCTAATAACCTGACAAGAGGAATTTGTCGCTCTATGATCCCCCACCCCTAGTTCCATAGATACATCTTTTCAGGTTTAAAGAATAGTCAAGTATTTCAGTGCCTGTTGAGTTTGTAACTCTCCCACTTTCCATACATTCTCACGTGATTAATAACAAAAAAAAGTTACATTTTGCATAATCTTATTTTTCACTGGGAAACAATTCTCAATTCTTAAAGATTGCAAAAAAATACAGAAAAGGTTTTATGTGAACTAGCCACCTTTAACAGCTACTGCTCACAGCAGCTATCTAGAGAGAATTAGCATAAATCCATTCTCCAGAGACTTCTGAAGAGCTAGTTCCAAATATCCCAAATGATTTCTGTCAATATCAGACTGGGTCATCATGAGTCAGCATGCCAGAGGAAAATACATTGGAGGCCTTTGCAAAAACTATACAGTGGTATAAATTATAACCAATATCAAGATGTTAAGTATAACTCTAATCTATGATATTCTAACCATTTTCCTGACATTGTCTGGTATCTAGGGACTGTGGAAAATAATGCCACAAGGTTGGCAGCAAGATTTGAAGAGAGACCTGCAATCAATCATGATGATTAATTATGTACCCTCAGGATTTATTTAATTTCTCTTACCATTAATGGTCTCATTTGCAAAATGAGGATATTATGAATAGCCTGAGGTTGCTGTAAGAATTAGGGGTGACATATAAAGATAACTAATGGTGGCTGAGCATTTGTTATATTCCAGGCTTTGATGAAGTAAATATTCATAGTAGATAAGCAAACTAAGGTACTATACATAAGTCACTTGCCAAAATTCATAGTCACTGAAAGAGGACTTGAATGTGGGGAATCAACACCAAATCTCATGTTCTTCATCTACCATGCTATAATGCCTAGTTTGGAATTCTGTAGTGAGTGGACTCAATAAATATGAATCATAACTACTGTTAAAATTAGGATGTAAGGGCCTCCCTGGTGGCGCAGGTGGTTAAACACAGTGCTGTGAAGCTGTCCGTAGCCTCTGTAGCGCCGGTTCTGTCCTAGCCCGCCACGGAGCAACCCACATGGCACAGCAGACCTCTGCTGTCTTGCCCTCTGCTCCCTTCAGTAGTGTATTTCGTCAGTCTGCCTGTTCTGTTCCCCAATCTGTCTCTGGGGAATCCTCTCACCCTCCCGCACATCTGTCCTGTACCCTGGTTCTTGTATAAATAAATACATCTTTAAAAAAATTATGATGTAAAATGAGGTTATATATGAGGTTATATAGAACACTGAATACTCACACTAAAGAATGCACAATACCTGGGACATGACTGCAAAGATTCTCCGACAACAACGCAGGCCTCCTTCTCCAGAAGCTCAGGGCAGTCCTTTCCACCACCAAGAGCACTATGCTTCACATTCCGGCTTCTGCTCCTAAATCCTGGCGAGACACTTCCTGAACGGCACGTCTTAGAGCAGGGGCTCCAGGAAGACCACTCGGTGGTTTCACAGTCTTTGGGCATGATGCAGGACTGAACAGTTAAGGGGAAGGAGTCTGGCATGCAAAGGCTAAAGAAACAGAAGCAGAAAACAGGTCATAGATTAAATGGGTGTAACGAACTTTATGAAGTGACTATGATAAAAAAAAAATCACAACCTGGCATAAATCTTTCAAACAGGAATGAAAAAATTTTGTTAGTGGCATCAGGATAAAATATTGAAGAACAGATATTTTTAAGAATGACTGCTTAAACACTCTCAATTCTGAAGTGGTAGTTATTTCACTGTAGCACGAGACTTCAGTAAAGTGAGGCTACCTTCTATCTTTTCCAAAGCATTTTAGAAATGGAGATGGTTCCAGTGCACTTGCAACAAGCATACAGTCTATAAGTAACATTTGTTGGCTGGTTTTCAGGAGTCACAAGCTGGGCTGCACTTCACAAACACTTTCTCACAACTGCATGAGTTTACATGTAGTTATCTAGATTTAGAGATGAGAAATCTTAGACTCAGGAAGATTACACAATAATTTGCGTAAGGTCAAAGACAAGTATGAGCTTTATAGCTTTCACCCATCTATTCTTTTAAATACCGGGCTATTAAATAATAAAATAATGTAATCTATGTTTCCAAAAGTTGTCATGCTATGAGGATCAATTTCCTCATCTGCAAAATTGTGGTACTATCAAATACTAACATTCGAATTGGGAAACAGATAAAAGCATAATGTGATAATATGATGAACTTAATTTACAAGCAATTGTAATAATGAGAACAATTACTGGGAAGCTTGGGGGCCTGGTGGGTGTCTAAGGGAGAAAGGCATTTGAGTTGCATTTTAAAAGTTTAATGGGAGCTCCTCAGGCACAGGATGTAGAGTATTTTAAATTATGTTTATTGAGGTAATCTTGGTTTACAATACAGTGTATGTTTTAAGAATATAGGTTTCCACTTCTTCAAATATATGTTCTCACACCTCCCTCACCACCAAAGCATCCATAATCCTCTACCTCAGTCCACTGAGCCTTCCCCCTCTTTGCCCTCTGTTCCGCACCCTCATCCTGCTAGACTCAGTTTAAGAAATTAGACTATTTTAAATCAAGGAAATAGCATATTCAAGGTCCTGATATAAAATTTTATGGGGATGGGAACCAGTGGTATGCTAGTACTGAATTACTAGAACTGCCAAATTTTCTGGAATTTTACATCACCTGATTTCATGTAAATGGCTTAAAATTGGTCACTGTGGGACTCTTTACACAATAGAAATCAGCAAATACTACAAATCAAGCCACCCACCATACCCCAGGTCACAAACCCACTCCTCCCTAAGTACTGTTCATTAAACATTTATAAACACACCAATGGGAGAATGTAAAAGTCAATTTGTCAACTGTCATATGTTTGTCAATTTATGAAGCATAATGCGTAAAACAGATATTTAGGTATGTGGGCTTCAAAAATAGGTTTGAAAAAACTCTGTATATTGGTCTAAAAATCTGGCTTTAATTTGGCATTTATTACTTTTAGGTGGAGCAAAATCACTGAGACCCAAACAGGATGATAATATTTCAGATATTAACTGGCATTATTTTCTTTTTTTTCACTTATTACTCTTTGCCATATTCAGTCAAAAGTTCTATTTCTTGGGGGAGAAAGTATAATTTGACAGGAGTGTAAATCAAAGATAGAGTCAATGTTCAAATACTAACTTTCAAGACTGGGTCTATGAAACGTGGCAGAATAATGGGCTATAGATAAGATTTTACAAGGGTGTCTCTGTACATGTTTTAAAAAAAGACAGAAGAGTTGAGATGTGTATTACTTTCTCACTTGGGAAAATATGTAGGTTAGGGAGTCACCGATAGAGAAATGGATTATAGAAGGCAGTCTGCAGGCAGAATAAAATATGCTCATATTTGACCATGTTGATGAGTAAATTATAGTAAGATTTTCATATTGATATACCTTATGAAGGCAGTGAGACTTAGTTTATCTTTCCAAAGTCAAAAAAGACATACGAAAATCCTTTGGTGCAAGATTTTTTTTAAAAAAATCTACTCAGATCACATTACTCTCTTCAAAGTGAAAAAAGGCAATACATTCCTCATTATCATCACTCACTCCATTGTGACAGTTTTGGGTCTTGGCATCAAGACACAATAGGATATGAGAATGAACTTTTTCTTGCAAATGTCCCATTTAATACAGAATGTATATTGTTGTACCTGGAGAGGTAACTCAACTCTTTCTGTTGTATGACACAAGAGAAAGCTGCCAAATGAAGTTTTTAGGTGTTGACTTTTCAGAAATTGTCAATGGCTGAGATGTGCTCCCATTAAAATCATATGATGAGTCCTGACTTCCAGAACCTCAGAATGTATTTTATAGTTGAAGAGTGTTTACTAAGGCAAATTAAAATGGGATCACTATGGTGGACCCTAATTCAGGTTATCTGATGTCCTTAAAAAAGGAGATGAGGACACATGCATATAGCAACAAAGTCCATTGGATGAAATAGAGAGAAAACAAGCATCAAGGCTCCAAACAGAGACCTCAGAAGAAACTAACCCTGATACTTTGATCATATAATTCCAAGCTCCTGAACTGTGAAAAAATCAATTTCTCTTCTTTAAGCCCACCAGTCTGTGGAAATTTATCATGGCAGTCCTAGCAAACTAAAACAGAAATTTAACAGTTTTTCAACTTGCGTATATTTTTAGGGAAAAAAAAAAAAGATTTAACTTTTAAGATAAGCTTTCTTCTTCCTTTATTAAGTTTCCATGCTATGTTAAAATGGTTCATCATTCCCTTCCATATACCCATGTTCACTCTTTTTGTTTCTCTTCCCTGAAACTGAATTTTCCAAAGGGCCAGTAGAACAAATAGCAAGGATCAAATTATACAAGTACTGACTGGCTCAGAATTGCTGGCGTAACCAAGGGCTTTTATAGTTATGAAAAGGGTTCCTACTTCTTCGAATTAGGAAGGACATACACTGTATTATTACATATTTACCTGTATTACACATTGACTTACTTTTAATACTATTTTTGCTAATCCACCACTTTAGCTAAAAATAATAATAGGGCCTCCCTGGTGGTTCAAAGGTTTAAGCACCACACTATGAAGCAATCGGCAGCCTCTGCAGCATGTGTTCCATCCCTGGCTGGCCAGGGAGCAACCCACACGGCACAGCAGACCTCTCCTGTCCCGCCCTCTGCTCCCCTCAGCAGCATATTTCAGTGGATTTGCCTGTTCTGTTCCACACTCTGTCTCTGGTGAATCTTGTCACCCCCTTGCATCTCTGGCCTGTACCTCAGCTCTTGTATACATAAATTAATAATCTTTAAAAAGATAATAATAAAATTTACCACATAGTGGCCTGCTTTAGTTTGACCAGTGAGATTCCATTTTACTTGGGTATTTAGGCATACACTAAGTGATAAATCAAAAATATCTGTGATCTGAATTTTTCATGGCAATATATAGCATATCTTCTGCCTCCTGGCTGCTTAGCTTCATTATCTGAAGGAAGAGAGTAATATCATCTGACATATCCCTGCCCCAGAGTTGTGGTGCCCAAGAGAGTAAGCAGAATCACCTAACTAAAGTTGCAGAAGAGATTAAGTGTCTACACTCAAAAGTAGGCACCAGTCTTTTCAGAAAAGGTGATGTGACTTTAAAAAACAAAAAAAACTGTTGATGTCTTTTTTTTTTTTAAAAAAGATGCTATGGTAATTATACCTCCTTGACATTTATTTAAAGAGTTGTCATTTGTAAATTACTTCACAGATATTCAAGTGTGAAGGAAATCTTTGGAACTAAAAATTACCCCAGCAATTCCAGTTTCCTCTGGAATGTAAGAAAATCACTATTTACAATATAAGAACAGAAATTATTTTGGAAAAAAAAAATCACCAAGTAATCTCACTTCATTAACACTTCAATTTCTAATTTGAAAAACTATTATCTCAAACGTGGTAAAAGTAGACTAATATAAATATTTGGATACTTTATGAGCTCAGGCTAACATTTGCTTCAGATTCTGCTAAATACACAAACAAATAAATACATATTAGGTGAAATTCCCATGTCCTTGAAAGTCCTATTTCCATTTCTTCTCCAGATGTAATCACATACCTAATATTAATTTACATTTTTCCATCACATTTTTAAATGTTAACTAAATATGTATATGCTCATAAATAGCACATAGCATTCATTACCTAGTATGATTTTAAAAGTTTGATTTATATGTTGTTTTAATATACATATTACTCCCTGGAAAGTATTCTTCACTTAATAGTATAACTTCTAGATCTAGCTACATTGATAAATGCAGATCGCACACATTCATTTTCATTAGTGAGCTACATTCCAAAATGAATATTCCCCCATTGTGTTTAATTTATTGCAATTCCACCATGTACTAGAATCCTTTTACATGTCTACATGTGTTACATGTATGTAAAATAATTTCTCTAGTAATTTTGCCTGGAGTTGGGCCATAAATATTCATACAATTAAAATATACTAGACATCGTTAAATTTTTCCTTTCCTGCATGCTCAAAATTCTTGGTATCTTCAGACTTATTCTTTAAAATGTTGAAAATGTGTATCTGACATATCAGATTACCTTAGAGATTTATAGTCTTCTCACATCTTTAATAATTACTCAGACTTCCTAAGCTATGGTTTGACCATTCAGGTAAGCTGACTAACTCCCCACCATCCCCCTCAAAAATATGTCAACATCCTGACCCTGGAAACTGTGAATATGTTAGCTTATATGCCAGAAGACACTTTGCAGACATATTTTTCTGTCCGGGCCAGCCGAGCAGATCAACATGGTACCCGGGGGAGGAAGCAGGGGCTTGGTATGGGACAGGGGTACACGAGGAGTGGAGACAAAGCCAGAATCATCGCCAGTCTCATTTATTCAGGAACGTGTACAAGGTTATATAGGGTTCAGAGGGGGAGGCCTCTCATTATCTCGAACAAGGAGAGACCACCAATGCAAACAAGCCACAAGGAGCAAGCAGGGGGCAGGGGTTAGTAGTCACAA